TTGCACAATATCTTCACTCTCAAAAATAATGACAGTAGCTAATATTTACAAAGCATTTTAAGATCTGCAAAGTGCTTTACATGATCTCATTTGAGCCTCAAAACAAACCTGTGAGGCAGGTGCCATTATGATTCCCATTGTACAGATGAGGAAAATGAGGCTGAGAGAGATCAAGAGATCTGCCCATGGTCAAGGACTTGCAAATTAACTGAAAGTTGTAGAGAATACCAGATCCTGTACAGTCAGTTCTGCTATAATGCAACATATGCTTTCCTAAAAAAATTACTGCACTACACAAAACTGAGCGATAAAAACGATAGTGCCCATGGGAAAAATGGGATTGGGGGACAAACTCAAACACTGTCAGTACCATGTTGGGGAAAAAAAAACCCCAGGAACCTAATGAAAACATAAGCAGAATACATAGTAAATGGTTAAAAAAATACATAAACACAGAATAGTGGCAGTATCAGTGGCCTCAGGCCACTGTTCTTCCTGAACCCAGGTTTCCATGGGTACCAAGTTGGCAAAGTCCAATTTTTGTCAGGCCAGAGTGTTAAGCCTCAAGAGGCCAGGGCCAGGCCCTTGACCATAGAGGAGGAGAGGCAAAGTTGGACCAGCCCTCCTTAGTCCAGAGCTGTTATTGCACCATATGATAGGCAATAAATATGGGACTTTATCTTGAAAAAGACCTTAAGTTTGCACAGGGAAGTAAGTGTGGGAAGGGCTACAGCTAGTAAGTTATCTAACCTGCAGGGCAATACCCACAACAAAACTGTGTGTATGTTTTGTGCTTGGATCACTGGGTGCAATTTTTTGTTTGTCCTTGATAATAGGGTGCATAAGTTAATATGAAGTTCACATTATACTAAAATTGTTCCCTAATATATATATATTATATCAATCTCATTGGAACAAATTCACATCTTCAAAACAAGTGTTACAGCAGAACTAACTGTAGTGTTCAGACACTACAGAAGTGACCTAGGCCCAGAATTCAACAGGAAAAAGAACACTGGATGAATTGCACAGAGTTTTCAATGATTCAAGGCTGGTTCTTGACACAAAATCATATCATTTTAACACCAATATTCTTCCAATGATGCTATACAATTGCTGAATTGTAGAATTGCTGAAAAATCAAAAGGGTGAATGATCCAAAGGGAGAACTGAGTACTGGGGATAAGCAGACTGTTGTGTATTACTAGTCATTATTTGGTGCAAGGGGCCTAAAGGAAATGGATGCATGTCATACAGGAAATGCATGCCAGTAAAAGGAAGTGAGCCAGTCTCATGTAGCTAATGAGAGACAACAGATGGACAGGTCAAGTGCTACACTGACAGTCACAGAAAGTTAAAAGACGTAGGGCAGGGTTTATTTGTTTTTTCACCTGGGGATCTATGAACGTTATATATACATATGCATATATATGCATACATATATACATACCAAGTTCACAGATCCCAGTGTTTTTATACATGTATAGATGCACATATATATACACATACATAATTTGATAACTATTTCAATGTAATTGGTTTTCTTTGTAATTCTGTATACTTCATTTTACGCATTTAAAAACATTATTTTGAAAGTAGGTCCATGATACACACCCAAAAGGGTAAGAAGCCCTGACTGACATCGTGGAAGGCCACCAGCTTGCTTGGCTGGATTCTCTCCAGTCAGATATGTGGAAGAACATGAATAAAAGTTATTGAGCTATGACAAACTGTAGAAGGATAGCTATTTGTGCAGCTGGTGGGAATACTTACCATCAAAAAGCTCACCAATATCCACTGAAGTACACTGTAGGGCAGAGAAGGGGCAGGACTGAAATCTCAAAACTCCCAGTCCAATGTTCTAATCTAGAAAGCCCAGCTTTTCTTCCAAGGTTGGTCTACTCTATTGCTACTTTTTATATTTAAGTTACTCAGGACCAAAGGTAGGGTCTAAACTATCTATACTTAGGTTCAGGAAGTTTGGGGATTTTTTTTATTGGGGAGAGGGGGACAGAGGAAAAAGGTATTTTGAATCTCATGTTGAAAAAGTCTACCACAGACAGGAAAATAGGGATAACAGACCACTATAGGGGTCACATGTATACGGTTTTATAAATCTCATGCCTGTAATGCTTTGCTTTAGTCATCTCCACCTCTTAGAATCCCTAGCTTCCTTCAAGACTCAGTTCGATCACTCTGCACCCTTAGCCCAGTGCCTTCCTTTCTGTTATCCTGTGTCTACGCAGTATTTTCTGTACGTTTATCATGTGCATGCTGCTCCTCCCATTAAGAATATAAGCTCTTTGAGGGCAAGCAGTTTTTGCTTTTTCTTTACATCTTCAATGCTTAACTGAATATATAGTAAGTACTTAATAAATCTTTGCTGATTTATTAATTAAGAGGGGGAGAAAGTTCAAAGAGACAGCAGGACCAAGTCTGGCAGGACATCAAACCAAATCAAATGTGATTTCAATTCCGTGAAATGAGAATTGGATAATTAGAGGCAGCTCAAAGCAATGTGTACCAACCTGAGGCGTGACTACTTGGTTGTCTCAATTTCACTAGTTAATAAGTTGGTAGTATACTCATTTATTAGGGTTGAAGAAAACATAGGATCATTGATTTAGAACTGTAAGAGACCTTTTTGGATGAAGTAATCAAAGCTATCTATAGCCACATGAAAAAATGCTGTAACTCCCTACGGATTGGAGAAATGCAAATTAAAACAATTCTGAGGTACTACCTCATATGGATTAGATTGGCTAATAGGACAGAAAAAGAAAATGACCAGTGTTGGAGGGGATGTGAGAAAAATGAGACATTAATACACTCTTGGTAAAGTTGTGAACTGATACAACCATTCTGTAGAGCAATTTGGAACTATGCCCAAAGGGCTATAAATCCATGCATACCCTTTGACCTAGCAATACCACTGCTAGGTCTGTATCCCAAAAGAGATAAAAAAAAAAAAACACAAAGGAAAAGGACTTACAAGTACAAAAATATTTACAGTAGCTCTTTTCTGGTGGCAAAGAATTGGAAATTGAGGGGATGACCATCAATTGGGGAATGGCTGAACAAAAATGAACATATGTGATTATGATGGAATACTGTTGTGCTGTAAGAAATAATGAGCAAGGTGCTCTCAGAAAAACCTGGACAGACTTACATAAGTGAAATGTACTGTGTACACAGTAACAGCAATACTGTGCAATGATTAGCCATGAATGACTTAGCTATTCTCAGCAATACAATAATCCAAAAAAACTGAAAGACTTACGATGAAAAATACTTTTTTAACTTTATTTTTCTTGGATTTTGTTTTCTTTCACAACATGACTGCTATGGAAATGTTTTGCATGAGTACACATGTATAATCTATATCAAATTGCTTGCCTTCTCAGTGAGAAGGAGTGGAGAGGTAGGAAGAGGGAGAATTTGGGACTCAAACTTTTGAAAACAAATGTTAAAAATTATTTTTACATTTAACTGGGGCAAAATAAAATACTAAATTAAAAATAAAAAGAAATGGAAGAGACTTAAGAGGGTTATCAAACCCAACCTCTTCATTTTACCAATGAGGAACCTAAGACCCAGAGAAGTTAAATAACTGGCCAGAGGCCAGTCAGCAAGTAAATGTCAGAGATGGGATCTGAACTCAGGTCTTTCTGACTCTACGTTTATGCTCTCTGCTCTAAATCAGTGATGTCACTCAAAAGAAATAGACCCCTGTGGCTGTTTATTGACTTAGAAAATCACAAATTAACATTATCTATGTTGTATTGTATTTTTATTTATTTTGTTAAACATTTCCCAATTATATTTCATCTGGTTCAGAAGGGGCTTCAAGTTTGACACCCCTGCTCTTCATCATAGAATATTCTTAAAGATCTCATAACTTTTAAAGTTTAATATGTTGTAGATATGATAGAAATATGCAAATGACTTAAATTCTAGACAATCATCTTATAAAATATATCTTTATTTTGGATCCTATGACTATTTTTAAAAGTCTATTATAGGTAGACAAAAAGGTAAAAAGTGTCCATTAGTGAGCAGAACTGAATTCCATACGTCACCTATGAAAAGAAATTTTGATGTCTTTAAGCATTATTTACAGGAAGTTTCTATCATATCTACAAACCTGTTATTAAAGCTTATATATTAAAAGTTCAAAAGCTACACAGAGGTCTTTATAAAGGCTCTATGCAATATACAATTTAAAATTTTTAACTTTTCACAGCTTTGTTCTTTAAATCTTTAGGCAGTGGGGCAAAAGGCCAACTTGAGGTGGCCCTTATGAGTCTGTTGCATAGGAAAGATGAGTGACTTTGTCTGGGTTCTTATGGCCTTAAGACAAGTCCCAGTGCTACCCAGTATGTACTGACCCATTCTATTACCTCAGTAACACCCTATTATCACAGAGAAGTTAAAGTCTTTGCCAAGCTTCTACGACTGCCGACACAACAATAATATAGCTTGCTGCCTCCCTCACATCCCATTTCATTTCCCAAAAGGAAGGGAGCATTGGAGAGCTGCAAAAGACCTGTCTGTACTCTTAGTCAATGGAAATATAATTGGCCCCTCATCGCTGCAATCATCAGGCATATTCTAACTCCGAGACCTACCTCAATTTCTTCCCATGCTCCCAATTCCTTAATAGAACAACATGAAAGTAAAATACCTGTCCTCAAGGAAATATGAGTAGTAAGTCTGAGTATGTGGGAAAAATAACCTGGGAAAAGAAAACAATATTTTCAGTGTACTAAGATCCAGAGTGGAAAGGCAACACTTAAATATAAAGAAAATAAAAAGTATTTAAAGATATCAGACCTTATTTTAATATTCATTTAACTCTTGAAAAATTAAAATTAACTTTCAAAATTTCTTTGAAGAATTCCTTCAAGTAAATTCCTTATTTGTTTTGTTTTGTTTTTAAGGCAGTTGGGGTTAAGTGACTTGGCCAGGGTCACACAGCTAGTGTCAAGTGTTTGGTCTGAGGCTGAATTTGAACTCAGGTCCTCCTTACTTCAGGGCTGGTGCTCTATCCACTGTGCCACCTAGCTGCCCCTGTAAATTCCGTATTTGAAGGGTATTCATTTCAATCAGTTTCTTCCAGAAAGTTCGCCTTCCACCAAGTTCCAAGGACTACGGAAAACTTCTATGTGCAAGTAAGAAGAATAATGACTTATTTCCAGATCATGTTCTCTTTGTTGTATAACATACTCCTTGATATCATACTTTCCCCTCAATTATCTGAGTATCAACAAAACAACAATAACAAAAACACTCCACTCCTCTCTATCCCTCCTAGATTTATATAAATACCAACACAAATTTGGCCAAAAAGTCATGACATACAGTTGAAGGATAGCTTCCAGATGATGTAATTATGAGGGGGATAGCAAGCATTCTAAGAGAAAAGAACCAAACCCTGAACTCAGTCCTTGGCACAGAATAAACACTTCAGATGAATTCAGTTTGTAATGGTACATTTTCCAGGAGGCTTAAGAAAAAAGTTCAGTTTACTTGATTAAAACTATAGTAAAGAAATAATGTGTTGCTGGGAATAATTTCTACAAACAACATATTCCAAATTGTATAATAACCAGTTAATATATACAGATCCATGGAAGTCCAAACCCCAGATTTCCGTAGAAAAGGAGTTATATCTTTACAGCTACAAAAGTCTCAATAATACAAATAGCGTTATAAAAATTCATTCTTTTGCTTAATATCCTGTAATAACAGTAAAACTTAGTTCCATTTTTCCCCTCCCACCTCCACTGTGCATATTTAGGAACAGTTCACAATCAGCAGGCTGGGGACAGGAATTCTACAATCAATGAAAGGGATGGCCTCTTCTGCGCTTAGTCTTAAGGTGTCCGGCTGAACGGCGAAGTCTTTTTCTCTCTTGTCGATGCTGCTTCTCAGCTTCTTGTTGCTTTTTCTGTTGTTCAGACTAAAAAATTTCAATGGAGAAAAGGAGAGGGAATGAAAGATCCACATATCCTTCCAAAGTTACCCAAATCCACAGACCCTCCTTTGCTAGTAGAAGTATTACTGAACTCTGGCTATTTTAAGTTGGCAAGGCTAGATTCTGCTTAGAAAAGAACACTGCAGTGGAAGACAACAGAGGGAAAGACATTTGCATCACTAGTTCGGTTTTGTTTTTTCTTTCAGGTGAGGCAATCAGAGTTAAGTGACTTGCCCAGGGTCACACAGCTAGTAAGTGCATCACTCATTTTTAAAATAAGCATGCAGTACAGAGAAAGGCCCTTTAGTGAGGAGGAAGAAAGGTGCCATGTTGTGTGAAAAGAACACTGGACAGGGAGTCAGGAGACCTATGTTCTGTTTCTGTGTCTTGTGCCCCTTCCCCTCTCTGATCCTCAGTTCCTTCACTTGTAAAATGGCAGTGGTCGGACTGGATGATTTCTCTGGCCCTTTACAGCTCTTTCAGTTGATAATTCAACCGTCCAACTAAAAAAGGCAAGCAGGGTGAATACATCCTGTGAATACTTTAGACCTGGATTCAGATTTAGCCTTTAACACTAGCTGTACAACAATTAACAAATCACTTAACTGAAACTCATTTTCCTCATTTGTATAATGAGGTTCATTGAACCTGTAAAGCCTACCTCATAGGATTATTAGAAGACTGAAATGTGTTGATGCATATGAAGCATATTTTCAAACTTTAAAGTAACTTGAAAGTACAATAAGTATCAATTATTACTATTAATATCATTATCATGAGTACAACTTTAAAAGGGATGATATTAATTTCACTATATTAGTTCTGGTCTATTTGCTATAAACAAAACCTAATTTCACTAACCCTGTAGTGGGCCTAAAACCAATTTGATTTACATGTCAATCAAAGGAGCTGAATTTTATTTCAAAAATTCTTTCCCTATATTCATCCCTAGTCAGTTCTGCTTGATGCTTTAAATTCAGAAGACTCTTTTCTTTTCAAATTTTAAGAAAAATAAATTATCATTAGACTTTAATACTTTCCCTGCAAAACGAAAATTTATACTGAATTTAATTATCTCAGAAAATATAAGTGGACTGCCTAACTATAGTATTACAAGTTACCAGGACTAGTTTGCACATTGTTGAGAAATCTTTAATTAAGTGAAATTTCAGAAGATGGAAGTTTTGTCCATTGTTGATTACCATCCTTCCTCAGCTACCCTTCACAATAATCTCATAAAAACCTTGAGAGGAACACCACATTTCTAAACAGAGTAGTCACAGAATTGTCCTTTGTAAAGCTAATAAATGTCAATTAAACCATCAGCTTATAAATCTGTTGATCTGTAAATGATTCAACTGGAAATCAGTTATGCTATTTACATCACTAGATTATTGAAGATGTCCTTTACAACAAAGGCAACAGCTTATGTTATTTTTTTGTTTTGTTTTGTTTTTGTTTTTAGGCAATTGGGGTTAAGTGACTTGCCCAGGGTCACACAGCTAGTAAGTGTCAAGTGTTTGGTCTGAGGCCGTATCTGAACTCAGGTCGTTCTGATTTTAGGGCTGGTGCTCTCTCCACTGTGCCACCTAGCTGCCCCCAAGCTCATGTTATTGATAAGTTCTTTTTCTTTCCTTTTGGTCACAAGAGGAATTCAAATGAGATTTAAATTTAAATGAGTTAATATCACTAATTATTAACACTATGAGACAAAGATTTGGAGAATGCTAAAATAAATAACTAGAATGAAGTTTTTGGCCAGAAACAGGTTCTAGTTCCAGCTCTATCATTAAACGTATTGCTCTGAACCACTGAGATGACTCTTCTGGGCCTCAGTTTCCTCTTGTGCAAAACAAGGAGATTGAATTGTATCAGTGATGCTCAAAGTGTGATCCAGAGATCCCTGAGATCCATGAGACCTTTCTGGGGGATTCTGAGGGCAAATGTATTTTGATAATAATAATGACATTTTAATTTCTAATGTGATAAAAATCAATAAAGTGATAAAATCAATAATATCAATTGATAAACTGATAGATAGAACCCATAAAACAAAAGCTCTTTGAGGTCCACAAATACATAAAGGGGCCCTAAGACCAAAAATTTGAGAGTCAATGAATTAGATTATTTCCAAGATCCTTTCCATCTCTAAAACTCGATAATCACATAATTCTTTTCTCCAATGAGTTTGTCATGTTTTCAGCTGCCATCAGCTGCTCAGGAAGAGGAATCAGGGTGGAACATGAATGACAATAGGAGTATAGCTATATGATGGAGAAATTCACAGGAATCACAGTCCCTAGATAAATGATACATTAAATCATTTCTTTCTCTAAATCATTTGTTTTAAAGATGTAAATTTTTTCATGAATTTCACATGGTTAATGCCATTTAAAATACATTTTTCATCCCTAAAATCTCTGAACAAGTTTTAAGTTTCCTGGAATTTGTTGGCATTTATAAATTAAAATCAAGAATAACTGGAAAGATATATAGATTTAACCTAAAATATAACAGACATCTATGTGATACAGCCAAAAGAGTTCAATGGACACAGAATCTGAAGACTTGGGTTTGAATTCCATCTCAAACTGAAATTCAGAAAGCTGCTTCCTAATCATGAGGCCTGGGACAGGTCTTTTCTCCTGTTTGGACCTCAATGCATTCATTTGTGAAGTAAAGGATTAAGACTAAAAGATCTTACACCTCTAAATCATAAGCCTCCCACACAATGGGCATTTAAAAAATACACATGGGGCAGCTGGGTGGTGCAGTGGATAGAGCACCGGCCCTGAAGTCAGGAGGACCTGAGTTCAAATCCGGCCTCAGACCAAACACTTCGCACGTACTAGCTGTGTGACCTTGAGCAAGTCACTTAACCCCAATTGCCTTACCAAAAAAAAAAAACAAAAAAAAAAATAAAAAATACGCATTTCTGAATTCTCTTGATTTTTTTTTTTTTTTTTTTTGGTAAGGCAATTGGGGTTAAGTGACTTACCCAGGATCACACAGCTAGTAAGTGTCAAGTGTTTGGTCTGAGGCCAAATTTGAACTCAGGTCCTCCTGACTCCAGGGCCAGTGCTCTATCCACTGTGCCACTGAGCTGCCCCCTGAATTCTTTCAATTTAAATGAATGCTGTGTGTCCAGTCTAACGCTGGGGCCAATGGAGAAAAGGACCTTTAGAAGACAGCAGCCTTAGGTCAATTCTTCCATAACACCAGTGGGGGCCTCCCCTCCTACACTGAACCTCCCCACACCTTCCTATCCTAATTTCTAGTTCATATTTTTCCATAGATGATTTCAAACTTAACATGTCTATACTATTTGCTTACAAAGCAATTTCTCCCCTGAACAACTAAATGATTCAAGTATTATGTTCATTTTGCAGAGAAGGAAATGAGGCGAGGTTACCCATAAAACACATACCCATAAAAACACAACTCTTAAGTAGGTGGAGCCAGAGGACCCAACCCTTAACCCAATCATTTGCAAAAATAATTCTAACAAATCCACTATCTATGTCTAGTTTTGATATAATGCCTTTAAAAAATCTTTTAAAAAATTTTTATTAAATAAAAACAGTGTTGGGAGGGTCTGTTATTCACTTTATCATGAAATATGAACACATAGTCTAGGAAATCACTTTCTAATTTTACGAAAAGACTTTACTTTAAGAGTCCTGAGTTGCATTCACTACTACCAAGAATTATAAAGAAGTAACACATCAGTATACAATAGTTACTAAAAGTGAATGGAGAACCCCTGCCCACAACTGCACTGGACTGTATGGCTCTAATCCCAACAAAAATGTGTCCTGAATTCTGAAGAGAACATAAAGATTTTATGTTAATGCCCATGATTAATTATGATAAGAGCATTAAGCTGTAAGGAATAGGTAATAGGTACAAGAAGTCACTTTGGGTGAAAAACAAATTTTGACTTATTTGGGAAAATAAGTTCTGCCTTCAAAATAGACTGTCTTAACTAAAAGGTCCTTTCAACTCATAGAATGAAAGCTATCACTGCTATTAAACTACCTACATCTTCTCTGGGAAATTTCAGAAATAGCCAAGGATAAAATTTATGATATGACCACTATAAATGATTCAAGCAAAAGAACCAATAGTATTGTTAAAAACAATGCTCCTTAACTACTTAATTTAAAAAAGTACCAACTTCAGATCATTACTGAAAAGCCTTCAACAATTAAAAGCGCAGATCAATTTAGGGCAGTGTTTAATGTTAAAACAAAGATTTCAACACATAAAAATAGAATACACATAGAATGTAAGGTTAGAAAAGACCTTCAAAGTCATTTTTATCCAGCCTTCTCATTTTACAAAAAAGAAAACTGAGGCCTAGAGGAGTTAAGTGTGTTTCCCAAGGTCACTGAGACAGTGAGTAGAAGAGCTGGGCTTAGACCAGTCTGGTTATTCTTTATTTTTGGCATTAATGAAATTAAATTTTACCAGAATACCATAGGTCACATTACTGTTCTAATAAAAGATATCCTTTTAAGTCACATATGGCAATTCAGTGATGGATAACTGCTAGCATGCTTGCTCACTACTAACCAAAAAAGATATACCTAATTTTTGAATCACTCAGTCTTGTGCTATCCTCTAGGACCCCAATAACACATGACCCTACTTCTTTTAGTCAATGAGCTCATAGTCCAAGAAAGCTCTGAAAAAAGATGAAACATTGGTATAGAAAATGGTACATTACACAGGAGGGGAAAAGTCTGGGAGGTCTGGCTCTGATATGAGGTCAAGAATAAACCAAATGATCCCAGAGGTTTCTGTGAAAGTTTGATAGTGCTAATTGTTCATTCTCTATATTACTTTCCTTTTTTTAAAAAAAGCTATTTAAATTAAGTCAAAATAACTTACCCTCTTTAATGTGAATGTCAACTGTTTGCTGCCAACAGTTGTATCCGATACATTCAGAGTCCCAAGCTTTGCTTCAAGCTGCAAACGATCTTCAAGGGGTTTTCTACAAAATGAATGAATGAATAAAAATTAAGAAACAAATTATGATTTAACACGATGAAATGTAATAAAGTGAATACTCAAGGAGCAGCTAGGTGGCGCAGTGGATTGAGCACTGGCCGTAAAGTCAGGAGGACATGAACTCAAATCTGGTCTTAAACACTTGAGACTTACAAGTTGTGTGACCCTGGACGAGTCACTTAATCCCAACTACTACTCTCCCACCGCCTCCCCCCAAAAATATCCATACATGTATCATCCAGGGTGTCCCAAAAGTTTTAATGTAGTTTTAAGCTATCGAAATTATTAATGCTTAAAAATGCTGGACTTTGGGGATACCACCTATATTAAAATCAGTAAGTAGAGAAAATATAGATACTATTCATACTCTAGACATTCAATTCAAAGTTTCTTAAGGGTCTCCTATCTTCACTGTACTATGCTTGGTAATGAGATATAAAGGTAGTAAATGACATAATCTCACTCTCAAAAAACTCACACTAGAGTCAAAAGACCAACAGCTAAAAAATAGTATGATACGCACATAGAAAAGATCAAACAGAATGATATAAAAGATTCAAAAGGCAGAGGGTTACTTCTACCTATGGAAGGAAGAAAAGGTTTCATGAAAGAGATGGCACCTGAACTGGGTTGTGCAGAAAGAATTTTTTCTTTTTAAAATAATTTCTTTGGGGCAGTTAGGTGGCGCAGTGGATAGAGCACCGGCCCTGGATTCAGGAAGACCCGAGTTCAAATCTGGCCACAGACATATAACACTTACTAGCTGTGTGACCCTGGGCAAATCACTTAACCCCACTGCCTCATGCAAAAAAAATAAAAATAAAAAATAATTTCATTAATGTCTTTTGTTTTATATAGCAACAGCTTCTCCCAGTATCCCTCCCCATGCCTTTTCTCAGAGAACCATCAAAAATAATAAATGATATTTTTAAGAAGAAAAAAAAATCAGCAAAATCAATGAACAAATCTGAAAATACATGCAATATACTAAAACCTCCCACCTCTGTGAAGGAAAGGGATGGGTATGTATTCTCATATTTCTTCCTTCAAGTCATGCTTGTTCTTTTTAATTTTGCAACATTCGCTTTTGATTGTTTTGTGCTAACTGTTCTTTCCACTTACACTGTTGTAGTCATTGTGCATACTGTTTTTAGCTTTTCTTACTTCATTTTGCATCAGATCATGTAAATCTTTCTAGGCTTCTTTGTGTTGTTAATATTTACCATTTTCTCACATCATGGTAATATTCCATTACATTCATGTACCACAATTTGTTTAACTATCCCCCAATTGATGGACATCTACTTTGGTTTCCAATTCTTTGCTATCACAAAAAGAGTTGCTATAAATACTTGGTGTATATGGCTACTTTCTCCTTATCAAAGACCTCCTTGGGTTTTAAGTCTAACAGGAGAATCTCTGGGTCAAAGGGCATGAACATTTGAGTTACTTTATTTGTAATTTCAGGTTTTTTCCAGAATGGCTGTCCTATGATTCACAGCTCTACCAACAATGTACTAGTGTGCTTATTATACCACAATCCCTCCAACATTGACAATTCCCATCTTTTCTCATCTTTGCCAATTTGCTGGATCTGAGGTGAAATCTCAGGGTTGTTTTAATTTGCATTTCTCCTATTATTAGTGAATTGGAGCACCAGAAGAGAAAAGTTTCAACAAGCAGAGATGTACAGGGTATCCATTTTGTTCCTGGGTGCTGACCTACATGGATAAAGAGATGACAGAGGACACACTGGGAAACAGTCCAGTTTGGCTTGAAGGTACAGTGTTTAAAAGGAATAATAAGATAAAAAGTTGGAAAAGTAGGCTGAGGACACATTATGGTTGGCCTTAAATGCCTAAGGAGATCTCTTAGAAGGACAGCTAACATGCTGAAGAACAAAGTAAAGATCTGAAAATACCTGAACTAGCTAAAATAATTGGTTGAATATACTAAGATGAAATTAAATGGAAAAAAAATGCAAAGTCTTAAAAATGTTTCATAGAATAAATTATACAAATACAAGACTAGAGTGATATCATTAGACAACAATTTATATAAAAATCATCTTGAGATTTAGTGGACTGTAAGCTTAATGTGGCTACCATATGTCACGGCAATCAAAAAAGGCATGAGAATACAGTGTTCATAATGAAGGGAAGAAATAGTCCTGCTTTACAGAGCCCTGCCCAGACTAAATCTGGAAGACTGTGTTTAGCTCTAAATGCCACATTTCAGGAAGGACATTGGCAAAGAGGAAGCTTTATTTCCCAATATAAGGAAATATTTCCTAATGATTAGAATAGGATGAGAAAGAAAAGGGACAAGGATTAGACAAGTGATTTCAGAGGAAACTCCTACCAATGCATCCTCTCTGCAACTTATAGCCTTAGGAAATAGGAGCTTTTCAAGAAGGAAGAGGCTGCTTGGGAAAGGAGTGGGCTCCCTATCACTGGAGGTCCTCAAGCAAAAGACAGCAAGTTGGTTTGCTATAGAAGGAATTTCTGTTCAACATAGGTTGGGATCTCCAAAGGCCCTTCTAACTTAAGTTTCTATGAGTCTGTGAGTTTGTATATCCTGAGGCAATGAAAAGTCATTGACAATTTCTGAACAGGGAACTAGTATGATCATACCTATACAAAGATTAGTCAGATAATGAAAGGGATGCATTAGAAAAGAGAAAAACTGGAAACAAGAAAAACAGTTCAAAAGTGATTATAATGGTCTAGGCCAGTGGCAATACATTCCTGAATTAAGGAGATGGACCTAAGATTAGAAAGCGTAAGACAGGAGAAGAATTTCAGAGGTAGAATCAACAGGATATGGCAATTAACTGTATGCACTGGCAAATGAGAAGAAGACAAGCTAAATATGACTGAAATTTTGAACTCAGGAGTCTAGGGAGAACTATTAATACCATAGGAAAATAAGGAAGGAGATGATGAGTGAAATTTAAGATATATTGATTTCACTTGTAGTATCAAGGGAAGAGAGATCAGGGCTGGATAGATAGATCTGAGCATCATATGCATAAAAGCATTAGTTGAAACCATAGGATCAAATGAGATCATCAAAAGATAAACTATGGAAAAAAGGCTAAGGACAGAGTCTCTGAGGACACCCACATTTATGGAAGAGGAAGAAATATAAACTTGTGAATGACAGAGAAACAGGAAGTCACATCAGCAAAAGGAGAACCAGGAGATGGAAGCAAAGAGAGAAGAAAATATCAACAAAGAAGTGATTAAAAAAAACCCAGTATCAAGTGCTGTTGGAAGTTTAGAGTAGATAAGGACTGAGAAAAGGTTTTTAAATATGATAATTAAGTGGTCATTCATGACTTTTGAGAGCAGTTTTATTAATATACTGGAGGCAGAAACCCAAATGCTAGGATAACAGAACTGGAGTTAGAGATTCGAATGGGTAATAAAGAAATGGAGTCAGCAGGAATAGGCTACTCTCTGTTTGAAAGTGGCAGTGAAGGGGAAGGAAAAGATTGAACTAATTTGAGTGGCATCAACAGGGAAAGGGAATAGGTTGTAGTTTCTTTTTTTTTTTTTAAGGACAGAGGAGACCCAAACACATTGCTAAGCAGGAGAGTGGGGAGCCAATAAAGCAAAACTGAAGATTCAAAACAGAGTGGGGACAGTGGATGGAATCATGGCCATAGTCAGAGGAGAGTCTGCCTCAGCAAGGATGAAGTCCAGTTCAATCCCTGACCCTAGAGAAGACTGATGAAGGGAGACATTCCAAGGTACAGAGGTGAGGCAACTCATGCCAGACTGCTTTCTGATCAAAGGAGTCAATGCCATCTGCTTAGCTAGTGGAGGCAGAGTTAGGGCAGGCCTGCAAAGGCCGCTTGTAGCCCTCAGGCAGCCTGCAGCTCGAAAAAGGATTTCCTCTACATACAAAGCATGTTTTCTTTTCCATTTTTCACAGGCCACCCAAAATCTCTTGGCATGCAGCAAGCGAACCAAGGGCCACAAACCCGCAGGTTGTGCAGGCCTGAGTTAGGGGATTGAGGAGAGACAAGGTTAGAAACAACTGTGGGGGGAACTGTGACAGGCGGGTGATTATAGATAGTGAAAGGAGTGTCATATAGTCAGGGCCCAGTTTACATTTGACAAGATAAACATGTCTGGGATCAACCAACGGTTTTATAACTTCTCCCATGGATCTGTAATCCCTACATCTTTAATTACTTTGATGGTCACTGGCATTTACATTTCTATGTCTTCTGTTAAGATCATATAGTATTTATTAATCATTGATGTCTTACAAAAGAAACAAATACTAAGCCACTCTAGAGAAAGAAATAAAGGGGCTACAGTACAAGTAGTAGCCCAGTCTTATTCAATTGTTTACTCTTACGTCCTTTGGAATGCAGAGAACAACTTTGATAACTGGCACAAATTGTTAAAATGTATCTATTAAACTTGAGCACCAATCATTTGATACATTGCCAGTGAATTAGTGTATTTTCATTGCTACTTTTCCAGGTGTTTTCCTTGTAAGAAATATGTTTTGAATTCATTTTTGGTACATTTGTATCATATTCTCTAGATTAAATATAATTTTCAATTCATGATTGGGTTTTTCCAAAGTCCCTACAGAGTAAACTTACAACTTCATCAGAGTTTACAAGTCCTCTAATTCAGTATTACCTGCCTACTACTCCAGTCCTTTCCATTTAGGAATAGGTGTACTGAAACTCTCATTTCTCACCAAGCTGCACTCCTTTGCATTCTACTCTATCGTGTTCCTTTCCCATCCCACTCCCGTTCCAGCTTCCTAGAATGGATTGTCTTTCCCCATTAGGTTATGAATCGAATTGCTCCCTACTGTGACACTGGACAAGTCACTGAACCCCACTGCCTCTCCACAAAACAAACAAACAAAGAGATTCTAAGTTCCTTGAGAGCAGATCGTCATTGCTTTCATTTATATCTCCAGTTTTTGCACAGTTCCTGGCACAAAGAAGGGACTTGATAAAATTTTATTGATTAGACTGTGCTCCAATTATGGAAATTTATTCAATTCCACTTCCTTGAAAAATCAGTTTTGTCTAGTCAGACACAATGACACCTTTCACTAACTTGGTTTATGGGGAAAAACTGCACTGGGCCCAAAGATAAGAAGCTTTCATTTTAAAACTAAAGCCCAGAAAGACAGTAAGTAGTAGAGCAAGTATTTGCCCAGGTCCTCTGCCTCCACAGCAAAGATATTATCTTTTAAGGTTAGAACAACTCCTTTTTTGGGGCAGACCAGATGCTTGGTTTAGGGAATTCCCAAGAGGAAATCTCTTAGCTAATGAATGCAGATGAGCAATTAATGCAGTTTTAGTGAGCTGCCTGAGGCACTGAAAAGTTCAGTGACTTGCCCAGGGTCATACAGTTACTGTAAGCCAGATGTGGAACCTAAACCCTGATCTCCAAGGCTGCTATTATCCACTGTACCACACTGCCTCTTAACATTTACTTGTAACCATTAAATACGAAAGGATAAAATAATATTCTCTGATTCTCCAATCCTCATATTGAAGTACAGAGAGCACTTATCAATAGTCTAAAGGTGTGAAAGGCCTGTTTCCTCCCAAGAGCAATAAACGGGTTTTCCTGCACCCCTAGCATGGCTTTAGAGAGTATACAGCTGCACCCTCCAGGGCTAGAATTAATCTGATTAAGTATAATTGCAAAACCTGGTTCTTGAGAATGGGTCTTCTTTTCCACTAAGTAATCTCTTCCAGGTGAATTACTTTGAATACAGTTCCCAAATCCACATGTGAATAAACTTAAAACACTTATACCTTGGGAAATTTAGCTACAATTTTCAAGTAGTAATGTACTAACGTCTCTCCTTCATATAATTTGGGATGTGGTTGGCATAAAGTGGTAGTTTTTTTTCCTAAGCAATAATGTTGTTAAGAAGCACTTTTAATGTACTTTTCATCTTCAAAGTTTTTTTAGAGACTAAATAATTAATCCTTTCAACATCCCTGAGACATAAGTATTTATCCCTTGGGGGGGGGGGGGATGCTAAATGTTTTGCCTCAGGTCACATAGGGATTCAAGTCTAAAGCCAAGATTGAATTTGAGAATTTCTGCTTTTCAGACCAGTGTTAGACCTTACCTGATTCAAAAGATCTGCACGAGAAACTTTTCCTAATTGTTCTTCAACTGCTAATCTTATATATGATGAAAGCAATGAGAATGAATCCTTTCTTTTTGGTGAGGCTATGGTCACAAATGTGGCTGCAGCAGGGCAGTGAATTACCCTTGCCCAAGCACAGTCCTCAACCATCATATTTTCTTTAGGATCTTACTCTATTCACACATCATAGGAACTGTAAGTGAATATGGAGTTATTAGGACTAAATGTTTCATAGAAAATAATTTGTGAAAATTAAGATTTTTCAAGTAAATGGTATAAAATTACTGTCTTTCAAGAATGACCTTACTTCCTCTATGATCAGATATTTAAATTCTTTTTTTTTTCCAATGTGCTTTCAATGAACACTTGTAAAAACTTGTTTCGTCTGGGTTACTTGGAAAGGCAAGCTAAGCTTCAGAATGAACCATGGCAAGAGATCAAACACTGACAGGGACTATGTAACTGAGATATCTACATTAAAGAAAGTTCCACTTCTCTCTCTTTGAAAGTCAATTTAGAGTGTGGCTGCTAACCAGCAATTCTAAAGCACGACTGCACGAGTGCCATTTCAGTCAGAGGCAATTAAAAATATGAGCAGATGCAGAAGCTGTAAAAATGTGGGGACACTGAAAATGTTCAGTTGTAATAGAAAAAAGAAATCAGTTAGGACAAGTGAAATAACTGCTACTGTGCAGCTTTCCTAGAACTTGGGGCCTAATATAGGGCTTAGCAGCCTATGGTACTGCACTATTCTACAACTCACTGAAAGCACACTAGGAATAAAACATAACTTAAATGCTGAATCTTGGAGGAAGTAGAGTCATATTTGAAAAGCAGTAATTCAATGTAACTGTCTTTAGACAATTAGCGAGGCTAAAAGGATTAGAACTGCTTAGTAATGAGAAGAGGTATTTGGAGAAAAGGATCTAAAATATGAGAAATGACATTTTACAGGGTAAAAAATAGAATGGGAATAAATCAAAGAAGGAAAAACTGAGGTTAGACCTAAGGAGAACGAAATTTTAGGTTGTGCTACAAAAGTAAACGGAGATATCTCTTTACTTTTTTTTTTTTTTTTTTGTTAAAAGAAAAATGGTCAACAGTTATTTGTCAGGGCTGCTTTGAGCATGGACTTACTCTACAAGAAGGTGATAACAACGGCAAAACATAATATTTAAACTATCTTTCACACACTTGATTCACACTATGCTTATCCTCTTCTCTTCCACAATTCTGCCATTATCATGTAGGAAACAGAAGGGATAAGGGCTGTTTATCTCATAACACCCCTGGTGACGAACCTTTTGGAATTCAAGCTCTCTAAAGAGACCATTAGGCTGGTCCTCAAACAGGAGCTGTGGCCTAATGCCAGGCCCATATTTAAAGACTTTCCAGATTGGCCTTTTCCTCCACTGGCATACACAGCCTTTTGAAGACTATGGTTCTTCTGCACAATAGAGACAAGAGGTGGGGCTTTTATGAAAAACATTCTTTATTGTTGTTGTATGTACCGATTATACTTAATGTCTATGCCTCCCATTTTTTAAGACATTAACGTCCTATCAAAACTTAGCAGGAAGAATGGCAATGTGATCAGTTATGCAGCCCACCCTTCAAATCTTGGCCTCTTATGACAAAACAGTCTGTAAACACTTGCTTTCATGTAGTCCTAGTTGAAAGGTTACATGAGAAAAATAATGGTTGAGAATCTAAAGCAAACTCTTTTCAGCAGTTCTATGAAGTATAATTTCTTAATTCTTACAATTTAGCAGATAAATTCAATTCACAGAATAAATATACCATTGTAGAAAAAAGTGGTTTTAAAAAAAATGTCAGGTTATAGAAAAATCTATAGCTATAGAAGGTAGAAAAGGGATTAGTGGCCTTCTAACTTACTGAAAATGAGCTTACTATTTGCTACTGAGGTTTACAAACATGGAATGTTTTCTGACATACCAGAAACCTAGATTTTTAAGTGAGAGATAAAGTTAAAAATTAGCGTAAGAGAATCTGTCTCTTATCTTCACTTAACCTTGTCTTAGTTCAGACATTTGAAACATGAATGCATAGTGTTTTAGGGAAGACATGCTAGCAGTTTTCAAATTATTCCCTCCAAATGGCTGGAGGTGAGAAGTTGAGCAAGTGCCAAACTAAAATAAGTTAAATGATGGTGAAGGACGAGGTAGGAAGAACAAGGTATACATCAATCATCATTCCTATAATCCTAGCCTTACATCTTTAGCCTTAATTTTCCTTTACCTCCTAACTCTGTTTTCTTTCCCAAATCTTCAGATTCTTACCAAAAAGTTCATTCTTGTGTGTGACAAATTTCTTTGCTTGAAATTAGAGATGGGTCAACACTTTAAAGTCCACACATAATTTGGAATTGGATTACCTAAAAGACTCTCATGTCCACTGGAAGTGACATGAATAATCAAATAATGCCACCATCTTGAGTTTAGTTTCTATTTGTTTAATGACCTCCAAGCGCCTTATAAATTTCTTCATATATCCTCAGAAAAAACGGGTAAAATGAGAAGAAACAGTAAAGATTGTGGTCCCAATAAAAAATAAGATTATTTTCTACAGAAAGTATAGAATTAGTTAGCTCCTAAATTACTATGTTCTGTCTCTAGGATATCACAAAAGTAGCTTTATGCTGACTACCCTACTGGTAAATGAATCAATGACAGAACTTGGGGTAAAAGAGAGAGGAGGACAAGAAAAAAAGTACTTATTTAGTTGGATGTTTCTCACCTAGAAGACGGAAAAGACATATTCTAATTGATCTCAGGGAGAACAACTAGAACTAATGGGTCAATGCTATGGAGAGGAAGACTTAGTCTCAATGTAAGGAAGAATTCTGTAAAAATTAGGCAGGACTTCTGGTGAGGTAGAGTCCCTTATGACTGGTAGTGTTCAAGCAGAGGCAAGACGAACACTTGGAAATGATGTTTTGAGTAAAGACAGACAATTTCTACTGTCCGTTCCAACTTTAAGTATCCATGAACTTGGCTTTTGAGATTTTAAAACATTTTAATATCTTGTGTTTTAATGTTTCCTAAAGCCTTTTGCTAAAGAGCACTTGGCCTCCACCAAAAAATATGTACATGGAATAAATATTACTATTCAAGGGGACTGAACAGGCAATGTGCCACCTATAAACCATTTGGAGCCCTGACCACACGTCAACCCCACATGTTACTTACTTCATTAGTTTCTGCTTTTTTGCAGAATCCTTGAAGCTTCTGAATTCCTCCCCTGCTTTGATCTCAAAAAACTGGGGCTTCAGCACTGTTTGCTGATCCTCCTTGAGCCTTTCCTGCCACCTGAGTTTTTCCTCTTGGCGGAGAAGTTTGCGCTGTTTCCTGACCTCTTCAACCCAGTCTTTTTCATCATCTGAAGTCTCAGAACTTTCTGCATCACTTGGTTTTCCTTCCGGTTCTTCCTCCTCTTCCTGAAGACAGAAATAGTTAGAGGCACCACTTTTTCCCCTAAATAGGAACTAGTTCTTTTTTTTTTATTAGCATTTGTCCAATTAGAATATGTGACAACTTCTACTATGCTCCAATTTTAAGAGAAAGCTATAATTAAATAAAAATACTGTCAAATAAAACAGGTAGAATTGTCTGAAATAATTTCTCAGTCACAGTCTACAGTTCTTCCTTGCTCTACAGATTTATTGCATAAAAATTCTCATTAATATGAAATAATGGGTACATTACTTGTTCAAGGAATTCCTGTTGCTCTAAGAGTTTTAGTTTCTTCTTTCTTTTTTCACTTATTTTTGAAACAAGTGGATTCAGAAGCCTAAATTCTTCACTCTGTTCATCCACCTGGAAATCAGGGTTCTCAAACATAACTTTGAATCGATCGTCAGTAAGAATATTTGGTAATTTCTGTGAAAGAGAAAGAGAGAAGTGACTGGCACGTTTTAAATTCAGTTTTAGAAGAAAATGGAGCTAGACAAAATCACTTATAAAAATTTCAATTATGATTTTTAATGGCAATAAGGCAAAAAGCTGCACAAGGCCAACATTACTTAATAATTACCAAACCCCTTCAGAAGTAGTTTCAAGAACTTTCCAAATGTCCCTAAATTTTAAATCCCACCACTGAAACAACCCAATTTATCAACTTCTTAATCAATGCTGCTCAGTCTTCACTGATCAGATCTAACAATTTGCACCTATGTAGGGGAATGCTTTTTTTTTTCCACTCAATATGTAGAACATAATACAGATATAAGACAGAATTATTCTTCAAGTAACATTATTAATGGAAAAAATATATTTTTGTGAATCATGAAATTTTGGTATATTAGTAGTTAAATACTGCATTAAAAAGAGAGTTGAGGCTGACAGAAAAAAAATAAAATACACAGGAACACTGATTTAGAAATCTTTAGAAATATTATTCCATACAACAGGCTCACCAATTTATCTCATTTATTTTCAAAGTATATGGTTTTAGATCCTATACATTCTGTACTGAAAAACACTGGCAATCAGGAAACAGAGTATTCTTAGACTGTAAAGCACTATATTCTTATCAATTGTTGTTATTATGTACAACCCTTGGAGAAACAATTGTTTTAAGCAGCCATGTGTTCCTGATAGCAACTATTTTTATTTAATTTAAATGAAAATTTTCTAAAATATATGTATGTATGAATGTACATATGCATGTGTATGTATGTATATGTGTGCATGTGTACCCCTGCCTTTTTAAACAGATGATACTTAGTATTCTTTGATGTTTACTTGATGACCCAAGGTCACAATTATTAACATTCACGACAGTACACAGTGATGCCCTCAGCATCTACTCTTAAGAGAAGAGCTGTTAGTTTCTCTAGATAACAGCCTAGGCTGCTATAAACACTTTGAATTCTTGCATCAGCTCCCTGAAGTCCCCTCACTAGTTATCACATATTGCTTCTAGCTACTTTCACTTTAAGTCCTTACACTCCCAGCACTCCCAGCACCTAAACCACCAATAAAATTGCTTTCAATCTGCAGTGCACCAGGACATCATATTACTATGTCTATTAGAAATAGATGTAAAACTAATGTAGAATGGTTCTAAGGTAGGGCATCTGTTACGAATAAAAATATATGAACCTTTTATCTATTTTGGCTAGCTGAAAGCCTAGTTTTGGTCACTTCTGGTTTTCAGCTATGCTCCTGATAGGTGAGGTGCTACTGATTAATTCAAATCCAAATAAAAAATTGGCAACCAGGACATGGTAAGCAGCTGTCACATAGAATACACTTGTAAGACAGACTGATCTTTGTGAAATTCCACAATATCATTAGAAAAAGGAATTTGCATATTTTCAGTTACAGAACTAGATGGCCATTCAGAGATCATATAGTCCCAGATTCCTCTAAAAAGCTTTCAAGATCCCCTCAACTAAAAATGAATTCTAGCTTCTCAAATTCTGCATTTCATTGTGCTCTGATCTCTTACATGCATTTAGCTCCCACTCCCATACATGTCTTTTGATCAACTTATAAACTCCTGGACAGCAGAGCTGATATCTCATCTATTACTCTTTTACCCAAGCCCCAGCAAATGCTTTGCAAATAATAGTAAAATATCCGTTGAACTGAATTTTACTACTGGAAAAACCAAGATTCAGTGGGGGTAAAATCATATGCCTTTGTTTCTATAAAGTCAGTTAATAATAGAGTTAGAATTAAATACCAGGCCTCCTATTAGTTCTGTTCCTTTCTACTAGATAACGCACATTTTCTTAAGAAAATAATAAAAATCCAATTAAATGATGAAAAAATTTTTAACATGTCAGCTTACTAAATACCACAAAGTTGTCATATAATCATTATGTTCAGCAAAAATCATTACATCAGAAAAAAATATTCTGAGAGTAAATATAACTGGTATTCTCTAATCATGATGCTAATAAGATATGATGACTTTTAACTTGTTTTGGGATTTTTAAAAACCTTAAGACCATTACATTTTAAATGAAGATTTAAAAAATGAAAAAATGTTTTTTTTTCACCCAGCTGCAAAAATATTATTTCCTCATCTAATTATTTGTTTATATAGCTGTCTTGAAAGCCTAAAAATATAAGAGGATAGTCAGAAATGTTCCCAGTTTATGGATGCCTGGTTTACTCAACACAGAGAGTAAAAAAAAAAAAAATCACTTGTCATTGATGAAAAATTTATGGGAAAGATTATTTTAAAGTACTTACTGTATATAATCCATGGGAGATACATTTATATGACCTGTGAATTAAATGATTTTTTTTCTACTTTCTCATATCCCTTTATACACAAGAGTGTTATTTATGAACATTAATCAATTAAATTAAATATAAAATAATATATGAAAATAAAGGTTAGCACTTCTCAGTTAGGAAGGCAAAGGCTAAAAATGATAACATTTTAAATGTTCTAACTGATTTGGCTCAAAATAATAGCCTACAAACATTAATATTCTTTTTACCCCTGGAGTGATGATTTATTATTTTGATAGCTGAAATGGTGTTTAATCATCTCTGAAGCTGTATGCACAGCTCAGGCATAGACACCCAGCCAAGAAACACCTATGGCCTAGAGATATCTGATATGACAATGTCTGCCATTAAAAAAACAGTTGCCAAAGGAACAGATCAGTCATACACTGTACTGTGGCACAAAGGTGCCAAGCTATTACTCTCATTCTAATATCAGATAAGCCAAAGAAAGGTGGACACACACACACACACACACACACACACACACACACACACACACAGAACAAATGACCTAAACTTCTACACCTCAGTGGATGGAAATTAGGAAAAATGTCAGCTTTAGAAGATACATGCTGAATTTATTATTTACTTAATGGAAGTTCTACAAAATAGAGATTCACTGTTTCACGTACAATCCTCTCCTGTTCTAAACTGTGTATGGAAATACTTATTGTTTTCGGTGTTTCAGTTCAGAATAAAAAGAAAATAAATGAGAAAAATAAAGGGCTCAAACCTGGACCAGTTTTTACGATTCCAGTGACTAGGTGCTATGCTTTACTATGGGTAGGCTGCTCCAAAGTTTTTTTGATTAAATTAATACTTTGATAAAGAGGTATCTTAATGGTTCATATGTATGACTTGACTCTCACCTTGCTATTTGATTCAATCATTCAAATATTTATTAAGTGTGTACTATGTGCAAGGCAGAAAGGTAGCAGAATATGATGATGAATAATCAGCCTCAGACGCAGGAAGACGTGGCTTAAAGTCATGGCTCTGACTTATCTTGCCTGAATGACCCAAGGCAGGTCCCTAACCCCTGTGTGCTGGGAGATTCTCTAAGGCTTTAAGTTGCAGACCTGCAAAACCCCACATCCACTGAGTTCCTAATACTAATGGAATCATAAATCTAGTCTCTATCCCTATATACAAGGGAGTGTGATGGGCACTGGGATACAAAGACAGAAAATTACATGAATCCTCTTCTTAACAGAGACGAATAATATGAGATGGGAAGTTACAGGGAGGAAGGAGAGTACCATAGAAAACTTTGAGAAATGAAAGAATACTTTCAGTCTGGGAGATCAGCTAAGAGTACACTGAGGACGTCGCACATTACCTGATCTTTAAGGAAAATAAGGACTCAAAGAAATTAGAAGGAAGAATTCCAAGCCAAGGATTTGGCCTTCTTGAATGCATGGAGTGAGAAGATAGGTTGAGTTCATTAAATAGCTAATAGTCTAATCATGCTGGAAATCAACCCAAATAGGTAGTTCAGAGAAAGTTTTAGAAGGGCATTTTATCCTAAAGATCACTGGTTCCTAACCTCTAGAGTCCCAGAGTAACTGCAAGGAGTCAATGAATCCATATGCAAACATACCTTCTGTAGACTGAATAAACAATGTCTTGTATATATGTATTACTATTTTTAAATGTATGAAGTTGCTTTTGTGATGAATAATTCATAACCTTTATTGTCACTATGTATTTTCTAAATCAATAGATGAAGAGCACAGCTACTCATATAGTGGGTCTGAGGAAGTTTTTAAGGCTAAAGGGGGTATTAAAATAGTAGTTATTGAATCTAGTATTTATTTAGCAGGTTTACATACATACTATCTCATTTTATCTTCACAACAAGAAGAACAACAAGGTTATCGTCACAATCTACCTATGGGGTAGGTAATTGAAAGTACCATAAACATTTTACAGGTAAGGAAATAGACTCAGAATGATTAAGTGACTTGTCCATGATAACAAAGGTAAGCTTTAGAAGTAGGATTTCAACTCAGGTTTCTCCTGACTTCAAGTCTAACATACTAAATCAAGCTGATGTCCTACTTAAAAGGGTTAGAAACCACTGCCAGAAATAACAGGGATCCACTTTAGGTTTTTGATCAGGAGAGTGTCATAGTTAGACTTATGACTTAGAAATATTATGTTGGTATTTGAATGAAAGATTGATAGGAGAAAGAAAAAATATGTCGGCTTAGAAGACTGTTCTAATAGTTGAAGTACTGAAATAGAGTGATGGCAGTGTGAATGGGAAGGAAGAGACAGATCTAAGTCATACTGAATTGTAACTGATTGTATGGGGTTGGTGATGCTGAGGTAGAAGGCAGAATCACAGATAACTTAGATGTTTCAAGACTGAGTGACTAGGGAAACAGTAATGTTCTCACAGAAATAAGGAAGTCTGATAATACCTAAGGGAGTAGTGGGACAAGTCACACATGCTGCAGTTGTAACTCACTAACAACTATAACGTGTATACTTATTTTACCCCTGAGATATGTCACTTAGATACTTTCCGAGTGACATGGGCAACATTTGGGAACAGAAATATAAAGGAAGCCACACCCAAGCATATTCTCTCTTCATTTTACTGCTTTATTGAGTTTCAAATGGAC